CAGGCGAGGCACCCGCCACGTTATTAGTCATATTATAGCCTGTCTCACCTCCCTCCCTCAGCTAAAGTTATTAAGACTGACAATGCCCAGGATATGTCACCTCCAATTTCAAAAGTTTTTGTGCTCAGCTAGGCATTAGCATATTACAGGCATTCATATAACCCTCAGGGCCAAGGTATTGTAGAGGAGAGCTCATCGACATTAAAAAATACGCTCTCAAACTACAATCGGGAGGAGAATTTTATTACCCTTTAACAGGTAATTCCAAAACCCTGCTTAATCATGCCTGTCATTTAAATTTTCTCACCTTTGACACTGCTGGTAAAACAGCGCGACCGCTTTGGCACCATCCCCACAGATAATTATGCACAGGCTTGGTGGAAAGAGCCGCTTACCGGCAAATGGTTGGGGCCTGACCCCGTCCTCATATGGGAAAGGGACATGCCTGTATCTATTGATACCCAGGCAAAAACACAAATGGCTACAAGAGAGAACAATTAAGTTATATAATCCACCCAGGAAACCCCTGAGAAGAATTCTTAATTCTGTTCTCTTCCAGAATACAATGATCCCCGAAAAAGGTGCTGCCCTCCTGTGCCTGGTTCTGGTCGTGATCAAGAGCACCATCGCAACAACATCCATAGATCTACAACTATACATGGCAGGTAATTAATGAGGCAGGAGACGTTGTTAATTCCTCCTCACATCTCTCCGCCATTATACCATGGGATCATTAGAAGTCGACCTATGCGTTTAGCTCTTGGGGCTAAAGACCTGCGGGGGCCTTCCGCACTTTATGCCCTCAGCAGCTCCTCAACGACTGACTCTCCAGGCTTTTGCTCCTCGGGAGCTGGACACTCCGCAACAAAAGATAGACTTTTATGTTTGCCCAGGGGCCATCGACCTCGTACAACAAACTCCAATGTGGTTACGCCCTGACTTCTTTTGTGCTTCCTGGGCTGTTGAGACCACCGGTGATGCCTACTGGAATCCTCTCTTCCTGGGATTATATCACCGTCAGCAAGCTGGTTTCCTGTCAAGCCCTTCGTCCCTTACGCCCCACAACAACCACTGATCCTCAGTGTAACAAAAACCAGTGGTGCAACCCTGTTAATTTCATTCACGAAGCTGGAAAAATGGTGTATTGTCCTGGGGATTTGGGGACTTAACTTTACATATCTGGAAGACATTGGTCTCACATTTAAATCAAATATTAAAAACCCCAGCCGTCCTACGGTCGCAATAGGTCCTAACAAACCTACACCCACTTCGACTCGCGGTCCCACCAGGAGGCCTACCCTCCTCCCCAGCTGTGTCCCTTCTCCGCTTAGACCCTCCTATACCGACCTACCCTGCCCGAGGGCCCTTCCTCTGCAGAATAATTCTCACCTTAAACGCCTCTGTCAGGACCATTGGAGAGGCAACATTCAGATATCAGGAGTATTGGGTATGCTACTCCCCCGGCCTCCTTCTATGAGGGTGTCGCTACATTTAGTGAACCATTATTTACTAACGACACAGCAAACTCAGATGGGCCTGGAGACCCATGATGGCCTGAACTCAGCCAAGTCACAGCCTAGGCTTTGCCTTCTTGGCCCAAGAATGCCCCCCCCGCACCTTAGAGAAAGTATGCAATCAGTCAATTACTGTTAACTCACCTTTCAGTATATCAGGCATCTACACCTCTTATTTGCTTGTTCTTCCAGCCTTACCGTATGTAGTCACTGCAACTTTTCTTGAGCATAGAGAATATTGTGTGTTATTTCATGCTTTTCCCAGACTCACTGTACATCCTGCTGATGAATTGCTCAGATTTTGAGAAGCGTCGGCCACAATGCCCCGGGAAAAAAGGGAGCCCATCTCGGCCATAACACTCGCAGTTGTCCTAGCCTTGGTTGCCACAGGGGCTGGAACAGGCATAGCTCTCTAGTCACCTCCAACCAGCAATACCTGCAGCCTCTCTACTGCCATCGATAATGATCTCAGAGGCTACAGCAAGGCCTAAAATATCTCAAAGAATCCCTCGCTTCGCTTTCTGAAGGTAGTGTTGCAAATAGAGAAGGGCCTAGATTTAGTGTCCTCCAAGAGGGAGGTTTGTGCGCAGCACTCGAAGAAGAATGTTGCTTCTATGCAGACCAAACGTCTGGTAGAAGATAGCATTGAAAGGGTTAGACAGAGCCTAGAAGATAGAAAAACGGAGAAACGAGTGAAGCGTGGGTATCAAAATTGGTTTCACATCCCCTGGCTATCCACATTGCTTCCCAGTGTCTTAGGGCTGCTTGTAGGTTCTGTTGCTCCTCACCTTTGGGCCTTGGCATTCAAAAAACTAACTGATTTTGTCAAGTCACAGGTAGACGCAGCCACACAAAATCGGTCTCCGTGTTTTACAACGGCTGTCATATTGCAGGTCTGTAATAGCTAGTTCAATTTGGCCAACAGTTCTTCCAGTTCTGGCCGAGCTTTGAATCTTCCCTTGAAGTCTTCTTCAGTGTGCTCCCTTACTGACAATGTGACTCCTTCAGGAAGATTGCTTTGGATTATTTCCAAGAAAATCTCTGCAAATGTAGCACTCAAACCGCTGATCTGAACCACTCGCTCATGAGTGGTAAGGACTGAGTCCAGGACCATTTTGTTGCCTTGGTCCAGCAGCCGCATCACTTCCATGGTTTTGGTTGGCATTGCATAACTTTCTTCGACTTTAATGGAAAGATCGTTGCAGAGGTTGTGAACATATTGGGCATAACTCTCTGCCAGGGTCATGTCATAAGCAGTCAGGTGAATGTTTAAAACACAATATTCATGATCTGTGCCCAAATTAATGGCTCTCACTTCTACTTTTCCCCTCTTCTTCTTGGGCTCTTCTGCTTTAATTAAGTGCTGGTATCTTCCAATGGCATGGGTGGGCTTTGACTTGTAGTGCCGACTGGTACTCAGTAGAATGCCACCTGCAGAATAGATGGGATTCTCTCCTGAAGCTTTAAACTTTAAGAGGGAAAAGGCTTGCTTAAAAATGGTATTGTTCCTCAGGCACAGCACCTTTTCCAGGGTTCCGCTCATCCTTTGCTGCTGCAGCCTCTCACTGTGCAAACCGAAGGTCCGCCGCACCAGCCGCGATCCCTGGGGGTCTCCACTGAAACCCTCTTGAGCTCCCTGGGTGATTTTTGTCAGGGGAGTAAGGACAGATCCCATAGAGGGAAGTGTACGCCAAGCGCCGAAGGCGACTGCGGCGGTCTGACACAAGAGTCCAATTGGGAGTCTCCTTTGGTGCTGTTCAGTAGCAAATCTCCCCTGTCCGCTAAGCTTTTCAAGGGTCCAAGATGCAGAATTGGGGTTTTTTAAATTATTAGCAGCCGTGGTCTGACAGCGGTCGAGAAAGTCGGCCTTCCAAGAGAGGAACTACCCGCGAGAAAGGACCGCCTGTACTAGTTTGATCTATTCTCCGGGGAGCAGGTAGCCGCCCCCTGAGGCTGCCTCTAGGAGGGAGTAGGTAAAGGGTGCATTGGGCCCATACGCCCTAACGGCAGAATTCAGTTCTTTTAAGGTTTTGAATTTTAGTCTGCAAAATTCAGTGGGCTCTGAGTCTGTTTCTTCTGGGAGGTCATCGCTCTCGCTCTCTCTTTCCCTCCCTTCCGTATCCTCATTATCTGAATCTTGGGGCAGGGACTGGCTCGAAGAAGGGGCGGCAAGGTCTCCTTGCCTATTAGACCTGGTAACTACTGGGAATGCTAGGGCTTTATGGGAGGACTTTAAGGATTTTTTATTTAAGGTGGCATATGACTGGGCGGTCTCATGACATGGGTGGCTAATGAAGACAGCATCTTTAAGCGTATCTTGGAGGGAGGACAAATCTTTGGAAAGCTGGGCAAATTCTTTTTGAAGTTGTAAGACATCCTTTAATTGCGTAACCCTTTGACTTAAGTCTTCTTTGGCACGCAAAAGCAAGGGCATGGTAAGGGGAGGCATTGATGAAGGTGCACAAATCTGGGGCGCGTAAGGAGGAGGCCATTCGGGATTGTGATATCGGGCCGCTTCCTCTTCGAGGGTTGCCTCTTCTGCGGGGTCGAGGGACTCTCGGAGGGGTTGTTTCTTGAACACCGGGTAATTAAATGCATGAGGGGCTGTACCCTCGGGTAAGGGAGGGTAAAACCACATTGGTAGTTTGTTGGTACGAGTCGATGGGCCCGGGCAAACATAAAGTCTTATCTTTTGTTGCGGAGTGTCCAGCTCCCGAGGAGAAAAGCCGGAGAGTCAGTCGTTGGAGGAGCTGCGTGAGGGCAAAAGTGCGGAACCCACGCAGGTCTACCCAAGAGCTAAACATAGGTCCGACTTCTAATGACCCATGGTATAATGGCGGAGAGATGTGAGGAGGAATTAACAAACGTCTCCTGCCTCATTAATTTACCTGCCATGTATACGTTTTGTAGATCTAGGATGTTGGTTGCGATGGTGCTACCTTGATCACGACGAACCCAGGCACAGGAGGCAGCACTTTTTTCGGGGAGTCATTGTATTTCTGAAGACGACACGAGATTAAGAAGTTCTCCAGCCGGGTTCCTGGTTGGATTATATAACTTAATTGTTCTCTTCTGGTAGCCATTTGGTGTTTTCTCCTGGGTATCATGATCAGCATGTCCTTTCACCATATGAGGACGGGGTCAGGCCCAACCATTGCCGTAAGCGGCCTCTTTCCACCAAGACTGGCATAAGTATCTTGTGGATGGTCCAAAGGCGGTCGCGCTGTTTCCAGCAGTGTCAAGGTGAGAAAAATTTAATGCAACAGGGCTGATTAGCACAGGGTTTGGAATACCTGTTAAAGGTATTACAGATTCCTCTCTCCGATTGTAGTTTGGAGCGTATTTTTAATGTCTGATGACGACTTCTCTCAATACCTCTGGCCTGAGGGTTATCATGGATGCCTGGTAATAATGCTTGAATGCTAGCTGACCGCACCCAGAAAACTTGTTGAATTCGGAGGTGACACCTATCCTGCGCCATTGTCAGTCTTAAAACTTTAGGCTGAGAGGAGTGAGACAGCATAATATGTCACTACATAATGCACGGTGCCTCGCCTGTTGTGTAGGAACAAGATACAATCCACTGCAGTGGTCTATAGAGACATGGCACATATTATCTCTTCAAAGGGGTAATGAGTACATCCAATTTGCGCTAAGCCCCAGGGATTAGGCGCGAGGTTGACTCCTAGGCGTTGGCTCAGAGAAGCGGTAAAACAAGCCTGCTTGGCGACGATCCTCTGGCCTGTTCTCCTATAATCGGAAATTTAAGTCTAGGGTATGGGCTTGAGATGGTTACATTTGGCTTGCGTGCAGCGCAAACCGGTCAACGGCAATGTGTCTGCGCCTGCAACCGCGGGTTGCCTGATCAACAAGATATTTCCAGCTACTATGAGCCAGGAAAGGCCAGTGTGGCGCGAATACTCCCTATAAAAAGGACGGCGAACGGAGTCGACTGAGTCTTTAGTTGCTGAACATCTTGAGTGCTATGTGTTGGAGGGCCGAAACTCTTAATGAGGCACTCTTCCAAAGTTGCAGCAGACACATGACAAGAACTATCAGCTATACAAGTATAATGGCGACTGATCCTACATTTCTTAAGAACCGGCAACTAAGGTGTAACTCAACGATTGAGCCAAGAGGAGAACCCATGTGGAAAACTGCGAACTTGGCATTAATGCTATACGGGCCGCCGGTGCCTGAGGAGGACTGTCCGGTAAATCGACAATACGCTCCTGATGAGGGAACTCTTGTTTTTTGGGAATATCGTACAAGTGTCCGATAGAGAATGAATCGTTTATAGGGGTATGATTACTAGTGTGCCCTGGAAAGACTACATTAACCGCCCAGATTGTCATTTTGTATCAGCCCGAATTAGCAAGCATGTACAGGGAGTATTAATGATAATGATCCTTTCCAAGAGACTTACAGGAGTTTCTCAAAGCCTAAGCGAATCAATTTAGCTACTAAGTAGGGGTAGGTGGGGAAGGACTGTTAGTGGGGCCGGAAGCTTATAGGTGAACCCAAAAAAGGCTTTGCCCTGCCAAGATCCGTGGGCGAAAAGGGGGTGGGCAGGACAAAGAAGAGGGGAATCGGAGAGAAGAACAACTGGCTGGGCATTTATGGCCCTGCTTGACAATTAATCTTGCATGCCCTTCTTTATTGAGGCGTGCGGGAGAGGTTGACTCGGCATCTCCCGCAGGATGCAAATAGGGGTTCTTACTGTCCTGGTGTAAGTTTAAATACGGTGCGAAGCCATTAATGTCACTAGGACGCTGAAATCAGTAGGCATGAAGAGAGGTCTTGTCTGATTGGTGACTTTTGGAAAGGACCCTAATGGGAATCAATTCAAAGCTATAGGAACAGGTGAGGGGCAGACTGAATTTTTTCAGGGGACAGGCAGAGGCTCGAGCTTGTAGCCGAGACAACCCGCAGGTAACCTGATGTACAGGTTGCCTCGTCGCCCAGCGAGAAGAATGTCATCCATATACTGAATTATATACTAGCTGAGGATGTTGATTAAGAATCAATTGTCTGAGCTACATATTTTTGGCAAAGGGTAGGGCTGTTGCCATGCCTTGACCAATACTTGCCATTGGAAGCGCGGGAGGGCCCTATACGTTTACTACCGGAGACTGAATGCGAAGCGCTTACAGTCATCTGGGTGTAATGGTATGGGAAAAGCATCTTTTAGGTCAAATGACTATTTTATAGTAGCTTTGGGGATAGCTACGGCGAAGGCAAACCAGGCTGGAGTGCCCCATGGGAACCATTGTTGGTTAACAGCCATAAATCTTGTAGCAGCCAGCCATTTGCCAGTCTTTTATGGATGACGAAAATGGGGGTGTTCCATGGTGAATAGAGGCTCTATGTTCCGCAGCTAATGTCCTGCTCTAACGCTGTAGCTGCGGCTAATTTGTTAGACGGGAGGGGCCACTTGATGATCCGACAGGGGAGTCAACTTTCCAAGTATTTATCGCTAAGTGCAGGGTCATGGCCCTTACGAAAAATGGTCTTTGAACCCTAGTCCTGATCTGTCTGACTTAGGGAGGGTGGTTAAGGTGCTCTTAGTCCTGACCTCCTTTGCTAAACCCTGTCCTGGAGAATCCCTGTTTAAGCATTGGCTAGTTACAACTTCATTGGGCCTGCACATAATGACATTCATTTGTGCAAGATATCACGCCCATAAGTTAACAGGTAGCCTCGGGACTAACAAGGGTTGAGTGGTACCCATGTTCCCTCAGGTCTTCCCATGTTAAAATTTTTGAGCTCTGGAGAGTATCTTTAGACTGTCTATGCCTTGTAAGTGCGTAAGGGAGGGCTGCAGTGGCCATGATCGGGCCCAGGCGTCTGGGCAATAACCGTGAAATCGGCCGCCTGAATCAAGAAGGCCTCAAAAGTTTCCACTCTATTTTAGCCGTAGGGTGGGCCGTTCCTTGGTGATAGCTTGGACCCAATAGAGATTGAAGAGCCAGGGCAGGAAGCACTCGTTGAGGCGATGGTGGAAGGATGTATCGGGCAAGGGTAATGCCTGAGCTAAGCGCTGTCCCTTAGAGACATACACAGGGCCGGTAAGCGCTCTGGCTAAGATGTTATCTCCCCAGTAAAGTCACTATCTACTATGGAGGGGACATATGAGCCCCGCAAGAGTGGAGAGGCTCGGCCCAGAAAAAAGAACATGTTAGCTGGGGGGGGGGGGGTGTCCAAGAGCCAGTGGCAAAATTTGAACACCATCCTCAGGTTTAATATTGTGTCGAGGAGGCACACAAGTCCACTCCTGTGCTCCCTATGGTTTTCGGAAGAGTCTGGGGCTCCTCTTGTCGGCTGCCCCGAGGCCGACTGGAATTGAATAGGACGGGGGCCGGGCTGGCCCTCAGGCCGTTTCCCGAAAGGGGGGGCAAGGGTTTCCAAAGACATCAGTCTTGAGCGGCACTGATTGGCCCAATGCTTTCCCCTCTTACAGCGAGGACGAGGGAGGAGGGCTGGGCTGGCCTGCTGGGCGGCACTTGAGGTTAGGGTAGCAGAGGAGGCGGCTAGGGGGCACTGCCTCGCAAAGTGCCCTGGTTGACGCATTTAAAGCAGTCCCTTGTGCCGCGGTCCTTGGATGCGGCCCCAACCGCAAGCTGCACGGCCTGCGATACTTATGGGCGAAGGGGTCAACATCATTACACATTCTAACATCACAGTCATTAG